TTCATTTACAAGTATTGATTTTAAGAAAATTTTTTTCTTCGCATGTTTTCTGATGAAATAATGGTTAAGACTGTACCATATGCTTTGCTTTACAGTGCTTTTTGAAGTACAGTACCTGTATGTCAGCTAGCTAAACAGTATTGGTGGATTAATTTTATCTTATATTGTTTGATAAAATTGCCTTTGGTAAATATATAAGTAAGTGGCCTTAATTGTAAGTTATTTTATTATGACTCTCCACTGCCAACATACTCGTATGTGTCTGAATATTGAAATGTTTGTCATTCATGCTTGAAGTGGGAGTAAATTATTGAAGACCTGGGGTTTACCCACTGATGTTGATCTTTGGCGTGAACAGACAAATTGAATGACAAACTAGTTTCTACAAGTAGGCAATTATGACGAGTCTTATCATTATAAGCATATAGAATAAGATTCATTGATCAGGATTACAAATTAATTACTATCCAAATAAAAAATACAGTTCACCTGTGGTAATTCTCCGTCTGACAGCCTCTTAACAAGTCCACTGTTCATGACCATGTGGGAGTATCCCAGTGGGAAACGGGACACCAGGCTTTCTGGGTGAAATTCTTTATAGTTTTATCACGTAGGTCCAATAATCTGCTCAGGAAATTATATCAGATATACATGTATCTGACGTGGATTATTTCAAGTCAAATATATGTATATATGTAGGAGTTCACTTTGGGTAATTCGGTCAAGGTTTTCTACTAGCATTGATAAAACAGCAGACTGGACAGATGCATTAACTTATACATCTATTATATACAGATGATAAAAGTTCACTTCTAGTCTTAAGGTAAGTTACTTATTACTCTATTTCTTAAAAATCAGGTGTGAAGTTCAATGATAGAGTACAGTATAGTTATCAGGAGTTACTAGTTATCTTACAACAGGTATCAGACACAAAGTGGTCAGGTGTTTAAAGTTCTCTATGAGGTGATAATGTGCACTATATTACATAAGCTTTGATCTGTTTATTCATTTGAAGAAAAATTTTTTGTTAACAATTCTGTAAAAAATACAAATCACAATTTTCATGTTTAATGATAGCATGAGGGATATTTCTATAACAATTAAAAGAGGTTTTTCTATTGTGCCCTGATTATGTTTCCCTACAGTTGGAACAGGTCCATGCCTGCGTGTAATATAACAAAAAATTCCAACAGACTCCAGAATTCAGACTGGGGTGTATTCTTTGCTTTAGAAAGGACTAATTAATTAATCTGTCTGTGGATGGGAATTAAGTATCCAGATCTTCGTTCATGCAACATTCATTTATTAGGTTCGTGTGTTTAAAGAAATGTGCCTTTCTTTTGGTGTATGTGAACATTTTACAGTTGTGTAGTAACAGCAGTATGCAAACATGTCCTCACATTTAGTTTGGACTTAATCGTAAGCATGGGCGCGCAGTGGATATGTAGTGGAGGGTGAGGGGGGAGCTTTTTTTTGTTTTGTTTTGTTTTTGTGTGCGCATGTGTTTGCAAGTACAGATGTGCTGAGTTAAGTGATTCAGGAGCAATATTTTTCTTAAGTTGCCCCCACCTACTACCCTCATCAGTGAGATTCTGAATTCATATCAATATCATCAAAATAATAACCTTGAAAAAAATCTATGTTAATTCAGATTAAAAAATTCATACACTGTATCAAAATTTTGGGTTATTAAAATGTGTTAAACACATGTTGTAAATATTATTGATAAAAATATTTAAAGAAACATATGTATTATTTTAACTGTTAAATTGCCACTTTTACTATTTCAGTTCTGCATGATTTGTACCAAATTGTTTTGGAGAACAATTCTGATATTTTAATCAAAATATTTTGTTTGGAAACGTACAGTACTGTGTACATGTTCTGTGTATGTTATGGTCACATTGTGTAGTAAACAGAAAAAAAGGCAAAATGTCAAAAGACTAATCTGTTTTGTTACACAAATCTTTGTCAATCTTATTGATGAAAAGGTTGTGCAGGGAAACAGATTGTTATTTACTTCTTATTTTTAATGACCGCTGTGTGCATTTTTTTGTCAGCTTTGTGGTAAAACAAATCTGTGTTTATTCCATTGATTTTTCTTTCAGTAATAAATCCATTGACATTCTCAGCTGAATAATGAGGTTGATGCTAGGAGCCAATTGAATTTGTGATCTTTAACAGATCTTTCGCACTAACTCATGTTCAACTGAGTACATGAGTACCCTTGATCCCAAAGGTTAATTTAGATGACCTTTACATGGCCTCCTAGCTGGTAAGATTTTGTCTTGAAAATATTTTTTATCGTGAAATGTGTTTTTATTGCAGACTTTTGAATTAACACCTAGATGGCTTGATTTGCAGTAGAATCAATGGAAAAAAATCAGTGATTGTTGAATAAATCAATGAGCCATATGTGTTGCACTTAGGCTGCAGATCATAAAGTACATTTTTCACCGATTTTTTTATTCCTGTTTTGCATGATTTTGACTGGTTATAAAATGTAATTACGCTATGGGTTTTTTTACACCCCCTCTCACAAGTCCACATCCAAATGTTTGGACCAATTTATCAAACTTACTCTGAATGACTGACTGTGTTAAGCTAATTGGGAAGGGGGTGGATGGGTTCGTTAATTTAGATCTCTAAGACGTAATGGCTAGTCTATTAAGTTGTCAGTTTCTTGAAGTGGTTTGAAACAGAAAAGTGTACCACATGATATGAAAATGGCCTTGAAATGATTGGCTGGAGTGGATTGATTTAGATGGGACACTAGTCTCTACCAAGGCAATGACATTTTGTCTCCTCTATTCTATTCTATTCTGGTCAGAGTTGTCTCTGTCACAGTGCATTATATTATCAGGTAAACAGTGAAGGCCTCAATTTTGAAAACCACTCAGAGTAATACTTCAGTATAATTTATGTATTATTTAGTGATTATATATATATATAACAATAATTATAATTATTTTACACTGTATTTTTATATCCCTTCATGAAAGGATAGCCTTGCAGTAAACAATATTATTATTATTAATTTTTCAAATGATTTGCTTTTGGTGAGATAATATTCCTCAATATCCTTTCTCATGAAAGATTTAACTGTCTTAATGTATGCTATCTCAGGTATGCAAACTAATGATATATTAGGAGTGTTCTAACAGTTTTATAAAATTAAGTTTGAGTTCAATCAAAGTAATACAATGATAAATATTGAAATGTTAAACAGGTAGAAAAATGCCTTCAAAGCCTGAATTTACCTGTAAGATGATTGGGGACTGTGTATAGCTGAATTATGTATATGATATAGCAGAGCGTAGGCTTGTGTCTAGATTATCAGGGGTGAGTGATCAACATATACATATGATGTAGAAATGTGAATTGGACTGCGTGGTAGGGAAGTATAAAAAGGACCAGCAATGTTAAGAATGTTTTATAGATACATGTAGTTAGTCTGTGGGATGAATATATATAGCATTGATAGACAGGAATAGGTTCAATGGTGAGTGGCTCTTTGGATAAATAGATAAAAGATCCTTAGATTCTCAAAACAGTGCGCTAGTACAACAACAACAACTGCCAACAGTGCTGATCGAGGCATCTTCAAAATGAAAGGGAGTTCATGAAAGTTGTCCTTTAGTTATTTATGAAAACAAGTTCTGGATTGCTAGGTTCTAGTGACTGAGGTGAATCACCTGCAGGTGACTGCGCAACACTTGGTAGGTAAAGAGGATTTTCTGTGGTTATGTCAAGGTTTTAAATTTTATCTACTTTTCTTTGGTTTAACAAGGTTTCCTATCTGATGCTGTCATGCAGTGCAAAAAAAAAAAATAGTAACATGACATGCATGCACGTACGTACATTAAAAGACTGGAAGTGTGCACCCCAGCAATTCTGCTAACCGAAGCAAGAAATTGCTCAAGCGAAGTCCTCTTCAACAGGAAAGCGACGAAAAAGAGGAAATGTGCTCAATGTACGATTTCCTTGAGTATGCCTTGGTTACAAAAAGTTGTCAGACTGGCTTTAGTACATATATGTGATTTGTCGCTCTTTCTGTGCTGGGAGCCTCACAGCCTTTGATAATATTCTGTAAAGGGGCAGACAAAGCTGTTTGAAAAAAGGGATTAAATACAGTAAATGCTCATAAAAATTTAAGAAAGGAATTAACCATTTTTTGCGTAAACATTGTTTTGTTAATTATATCTAAGATCTAATATACCATCTGTTTTTAAGATCTTAGGTTATATTAAAATTGTTTATTCAGTGCTTCTGAAAAGTTAGTTGACTTTATAAATGTCAGAGGGAACATTTTTGTGAATAAATAATTAGAATGATCATTCATTTTCTGAATTTTTTTAAGCTATAGCAGAAAAGTCTTTCAGAAAGATATATTCCAAAATGCAGTAACAATAAATATAGACAAATACTTTGGCCAATCAAAAATAAGTTTTCAGGGTGAATGAGGCAATGCATTACAAAGCTATAAATGCACCCATTTGTATGTATACGTATTTTGATGGATAATATCAGTACTGCAAACCAAGGTTATCATGTTTATTTCTGCCAAGCAGAACAAGACAAAGCACTCGACAATGTATGTAGAGTAGAATTTTTTTAAATGATTCTCTTTGTTGGCTCTAACTCTGTCTCTCTCTCTCTCATTGACTCTCTTTCTCTTTCTTTCTTTGTTTTAAAAGAAGAAAAATTGATTTTGAAAACATAAATTTAATCCTACTGTGGCTTAATTGAGCAAGGCTTATTTTACATTTTCTCTCCAAGTCAGGAAAACACAAGAATTTGAAAAAAAGGAGAAAGTGCATCTATCTCTAGGAGAAATTTATGAGTTCAGAAACACTTGATCTTCCAGTGAATGGTAAGTGCTAGGTCCTATTACAGCTGATAATTTAGTACTGATATATAGCATCTGGATCCAGAAGATTAATACTTCTGCGTGGGAAGTGTGGGATTACACTTATATTCCTAGTAAACACTGGGTTTGAGATTATTAGAGACCTGTTTTATTGTATGCTCAGAGTTCCTGCCAAGTTTACTGTGTGGCTGAAACTGGATGAAAAAGTTATATGTGGTAGGTTCATATAAATTTGATCTTTTCATTGGGGGAAAATTGTGAATTTTACAGATACTGTACTGTATTTTTTTTAAGTAATAATTTCTTAAAATAAGAGCATACCTATTGAGTGGTTGCAACAAAATTGAAAAGCAGACTACCTTATAGGTTTATTCTATGCATTAAAAGAACTTCAAATACTATACAAAAATATAATATTTTAAAATGATGTATCTGAAAGTTTGATAATTTTTGCCCATGAAAAGATCGAGTCATTAACGTATCCAGTTTCTAGTAAGACTTAGTGCTTGATCATGACAAGGGCACGTTTTTGAAGGCAGATGTAACAAACAAGTGGATATACAGACTCTCTTGTCTTAAAACATATATCTTGAAGGGGGAGATGCATGACAGTTGCAGATTTGTTTTGAAATGGATGACATTAATTTTCCTGACAAAGACAAGGCAAGTTCAAGTTAAAACCTCATTTATCAAACAACTAATTAACATATACATATACATAATTTAAATGTGATAACTGTACATTTCTTGCTCACTTGCATATTTTGAAGCATTTTTTTCTTAAACATTAATTAATTGTTATATAGTTAATGATAGAAATAAAGAACTGTTTTCCTCAAATATCAAGTTTTTTTTTCTAAATTGAATGCCTTAATTCAGAATCAATATTCTTTTTTAAAAGATGATGAATTATGGGCTAATTTGTGTCTTAAAGTGAATTCAACAGTTATTGAGCAAGCTCAGGCATAGCAATTGTTTTCTAAGCCAAGCTTACCAATTGCATCAAGGCAAAAATGAAGAAATCAATAGAATATTTCATAGGAAGCTACTGTCGACAAGGAACGCTGAATGAACATGGTCTGCACTCGGTCAGTGTTCTACGCAAATTTGAGTAGAGTTCTAGAATTTGATAATAGAATCTAGTGGTATGAAGACATGAATCATCATTAGCAAGCTAAATTGCCGTTTCAACCACAATTTTACTTCAAATGCCACAGTTGCAGATTTCTTATTTTCTGTCACGTTTTTCGTGCTGAAGTCTTTGTCTACTTTTGTTTAGCCAGGTAGCTGTAGCTAGTGCAGGACAATATCATAAGATACCGAAAAAACTGCTTGACTGGTAAAATTAGCAGATGTGTAGGCTGATATCCATGTCTGAAATAGAAAAAGGAATTGAATGCAAGGCAGGTTAGGGAAAATGTGTTTAAAGGAATATTTTGTCAAAATATAGAGGAGTTGTCAGTTATAAAATACAAGTCAGTTTTCAATGAAAACTATATGTATTTATGAGAAGAATTTCATCAACTGTGGTATAAGGATAAAGTGTTTTTTTTCTTCAATCAAACAAATCAACAGCTAAATATTGAAATTTTGTAAAAGCTTCATACATTTTTGATGTCTTTTGTGAAACTGTAAGAACTTGAATAGTTTAAACCATTAGAATGAATGCTCAAAATTTCAAATTGCAGTTCACTATCTATATTCATATTTCAAGTGATATATTTTTTGTTTGCTTTCCACAAATGCTAGAACTAAAAAAAACAATTGATGATGTTTACAGAAATCATATTTTGATAAGGCAATGTGGTAGATTCTCACCATGGTGACTGTAATTTAATTTAAGGTGTGTCACCTTTGGTGATTTAATCGTAATTATCTCTTAATAATGATGTAATTAAGTCAGCTTTTCTAATCTATAGCAACAGACTGACATGTAGATCTTAGACTTTAATATAACAGAAAATTGATTGTAAATTTCTGGAATTTTTGACTTTTTTTCCTTAATCACCTAAGTATTTCCCATCCAAATGTGATTTAAAATACTAATCTATAAACCTGTTTTCCAGTTCAGAATTTCTATTTTTTCCGTTTAATAATGAGTGCAATTCACCCATCTCCCTAATCTCTATTATGAAACAGACTCAAAATTTGAAACTGAGAACTTCAGCCTGAGTTTTAAATAGTTAAATATTTTATCAGCGTTTTTTTCGATATGCCGTACTTTGGGGAATTGTTATAATTTCTTGGAAAATTTCCATTGTTTATCGTGTGCTTTGTATAGAGTTACTGTAAAGATTTCTATGTATGTGTGTAGTACATAAAACCATTGAGCAAATGACACTTGATATAACTGCAAGTTCTCCTTCCCTCTAGTGCTAAGTTTCTTAAATATTGAAACGCGTACCTAGCACAGATCAATACTGAGGTGCCAGGATTATCAATAGTTTCAATTACTTAAATCCCAGAGGATGAACTCAAGGTACTGGTGGGAGTCAGGTTGACAAGTCTCGTTTAGGTAGATTGTTGTTTGTAATGATGTAAATGTGTCACAGAATGGAAGATCTGATGTCCTTGAATGTATTGTGATTGCTTGCTGAGTTCTCACACATGATTTGAGTACAGATATTGGGTAAATTCAGTCGTAGGAGGAAGTCACGTTATCAGTCAGTCTTTTAATTGGATACTTGTGTGAGTATACCGTTGTTATTTTTTAAGTGCATGTGACTAAACATGAATAATATTTGTTGCTGAGCGTATTCTGGTGATGGATTAGTAATCACTTGTGGTTTAATTTAGGGGGAAAAAGACCCATATAACATTGTACATTTTACTAGTTCATGATGAAAAATAATGCGAGTTTCTGTACATGTAGATAAGGGCATAGATTAGAAGTTCATTATACAAAATATCTTCCAGGTAAATAAAAACCTTTTACTTTACTGTGCATTTTGTCTGTGGTCTGTGGATTAACTGGTTATCTGTGGTCTGTGGATTAACTGGTTGTCACTATAATGCCTCATGGGACTTCCCTTGTACACATGTTTGACCCAAAGTGAAGACATCTTTTGATCAGTTGAACCATTGGAGTAATGAACCCGTAGACTGTTATCTCAGCGTTAATTATGACATTTGTTACAATTTGAATGGTCTTGATTGGTACAAAAGGTCACAGTTAAATGTTAATGAAGCAATTATTTATACTTTCAGTTCTTAGCAGTTAGCCTGGGATATTTTGCCCGTGATTGTATATTTTGTGATTTAAGATATTTCAAAATATTTTTAAAATATGTTTTTATGATGATATACAATTCTATGTCTTTGGAATAGTAGGTATGTACGTGTCACTACCAACCATAGAAATATATATTTTTGAGAATTACATGTGCATGCATGAGGAAGAACATTTTAATAAGACGAGTTAACATAAAAAATGGGTATCTAGTTGAAAGGACTTTTAATAGGTTTAGTTTACTAAGGTCTTATTCGTATATTCCATATGTCACCAGTCTCAGTAGAGCTTACCACAGATAACAATATACTTGGCATAGTTTTGGCCGTGTCATTCATACTACATGGCTGTAGACTTTTCTCACCTCCCTTGGGAGGAAAGAAGCCATATGAGGAGCTGAAAGCTAGCATACGGACAATATGATCTTTCACTGCCAGCTAGACCAGGTACGCTACCCCTGCTGCTATACATGTTCCAGCTAGGTGAGCATCAAGCAAGCAGAAACCACAGGTACTGTTTTTGAAGAATTTGTGTGGACTCCAGTGCTCATGCCTAATTCCCTCTTTGAGGGCCAATTGACACTGACCACAGATTGTTGGTACAAGGGTATAGGTACAAAACCTTCTTCTCCTGATAGCGTTTTGATAATTTATTACATAAAAGTGAAAGAATTCCAAAATAGTAATGTAGTCAAAAAGCAACGCTGATGATAGGGAGTAATTAATGCTTAATGTTGCATTAGCATTTTGGTGCTGGTGCTACATGTATGTTGGAGTCCATATGGATGTGATATTTATTGGACTCATCACAGATAGTACAAATACCACAGAGACCAAGTCTTTAATGCACCTTAATGGTGGTCATTATGGCTTAATTCTCAAATCATTTATGCATAATGCTGACTGGCAGATACTTTAGACATGCTTTAATGCGAGGATGATTATGGTGGAAAACCACTGTATATTTTAAAGATTGTCAAAAACTGTGAATAGACCAGCATCATTGATGTCTCAGTTGGTGATCTGTGTACTATACTACAGTAGGTGCTGATGTGACAAAAAAAAATGAAGTGTTCATATAGAACAAGGGAGCATGCACTATATAACCAATGCATTTCCAGGCAGACTCCTCTACTTTTGTGCTAATTGTAATAGATCTCAGGATGCATGTGCAGCATACATGGCAATTAAACCCCATTCAGTTGGTTGTGTTAATTGGGGTTTTAAGATTATGGGTGAAAATCATTTGTTTACGAAAGCAATATTTTGAAATGAATCCAAAACAATCATAGCTTATACAATCTAATCAAATCTCTGCACGGAAGCAAGTTTACCTGGTGCCAAATGTAATTACTGGTAAGCTTTGTTCGCTTGCCAACCTTAAACCTACTGCTATTTTTTCCCCATTTGAAAAAATATATGTGCAAAATTATGATGCCAATTTCCTTGAAATTAACAATGGTCACACTCAGTCAACTTTTCAGTTTTGTGTGATGTAGTAAAGCCTTTTTTTATTTACTTCTTATCAAATAGAAGAAGCATAAACTTGTATGAGTCTATTAAGAGCTGATATTAATTACAGAGTTCTAAGAATTGTGATCTTTTCTGAGCCGAACATGACTGGAAATGAGTCACTGTTGTTCCATAGCACTAATCATATACAGTTTGACAGCTAGCATATGGTTACAATACAATTGCCCCCAGGGTGAGGGCTAATATATAAATATTATGTAAGAGTCACTTTCAATCCTTCTAGTCGCTCAGATTATATGAAAAAGTTCACTAATGATTCATTATATTGGCTTACATACATGTACATATATTTGAACTAGAAACCAGAGAGGGCAGACCTCCACCAAGGACTTCACACTGATAAATTGTGGTAGTTGAGAGCACATTTGTTGCACAACAGGTCAAGGCCATTGGTCATATCTTGCAATGGTGATGATACTTTAAAAACATTCATGGATCCAGATGGTGATCTGAAT